CTCTCTCTCTCTCTCTCTCTCTCTCTCTCTCTCCCCCTCTCTCTCCCTCCCTCTCCCTCCTTCCCCCGGTCCAAGGTGTCCTCCCTGCCTCCCTCCCAGCAGGCCACTGGGCGCTCCACACATCGAGCAGCGGGTAGTCGCTTAAGTTCCCAATGAAGACAAATGTCAGTCATAAGGCGTTGCCTTATTGATTATGGACTGAGGCAGAGCAAGGTGTGGACTGTGGGAGTGGGGGGGAGGGAGAGAGAGGGGAGAGAAAAGGGGGGAGAGAAGGGGGGAGAGAAGGGGAGAGAGAGGAAATGATATATAAAGGATAATGAGGCTTTGAGGGTATGGGAGAACCCGACAAGGCTAAAATATGGATACGTTAAAAATGCACATTATTACATACCAGTCTGCAGATTGCTGGCCTGCAGAAGTCTCCGAGCGTGTCCATGGCAGCTGCCACACCTGACGACGTTGAAAGTCTCCTTCCATTGTTTACTTAAAACTGTTGAACCAGAAGCCTTTTCCACTCAGACCTGTGGAGGTACACACACACACTCAGACCTGTGGAGGTACACACACACACTCAGACCTGTGGAGGTACACACACACACTCAGACCTGTGGAGGTACACACACACACTCAGACCTGTGGAGGTACACACACACTCAGACCTGTGGAGGTACACACACACTCAGACCTGTGAAGGTACACACACTCAGACCTGTGGAGGTACACACATACACTCAGACCTGTGGAGGTACACACACACACTCAGACCTGTGGAGGTACACACACACTCAGACCTGTGGAGGTACACACACACTCAGACCTGTGGAGGTACACACACACTCAGACCTGTGGAGGTACACACACACTCAGACCTGTGGAGGTACACACACACTCAGACCTGTGGAGGTACACACACTCAGACCTGTGGAGGTACACACACACACTCAGACCTGTGGAGGTACACACACACACTCAGACCTGTGGAGGTACACACACACACTCAGACCTGTGGAGGTCAGACCTGTGGAGGTGACACACACACACACTCAGACCTGTGGAGGTACACACACACACACTCAGACCTGTGGAGGTACACACACACACACTCAGACCTGTGGAGGTACACACACACACACTCAGACCTGTGGAGGTACACACACACACACTCAGACCTGTGGAGGTACACACACACACACTCAGACCTGTGGAGGTACACACACACACTCAGACCTGTAGTGGTACACACACTCACTCAGACCTGTAGTGGTACACACACTCACTCAGACCTGTAGTGGTACACACACTCACTCAGACCTGTAGTGGTACACACACTCACTCAGACCTGTAGTGGTACACACACTCAGACCTGTAGTGGTACACACACTCAGACCTGTAGTGGTACCATGGGATAAGTTTCCTCCATCTCAAGTCCCGAAGGAACAGGTAAGCCATAATAATACAACCTTCCTGCACCAGCCAGCCCGACCTCTCCAGCTGCCACAACGGACAGAAAATGGTGTATTAAAACAAACGAACCGAACCTAACCGAGTGACAAATGTATAGAACACGTGAATGTTGGTGAGCCGCTATGATTTATAGTACATCATATTTTGTTCATTGGGGATTTGCCCTGGAAATGTGATGTATTATTCAAGTAGACAGGTTGCAGCAGCGCGGCTTGTGGCGCAATGTCTCCAAATTCGTCGTAAATGTTATCAAATTATATTGCAATTATATGCTATTTAATGTGCCAACACTGAGCAAGCAGCCCAGGTGTTGCGTCTTGGTGCTGCTCCCTTGGTCGCCTCAACACCGGGGACAACACTCACATACTGATATATATAATATAATTATACTTAGAACTGAATGATCTAACACAGATTTAGTAGTGGGGCCAAGAGCTTAATCCCAACACAAACAAAGGAAGTCCGTGCATGGTGGCGCGGGTCCCTGCTTCAGCCTCCACTTGGGGCGCCTCGTCTGGTCCTCAGGGACATGTTGGACAGCCAGAGATTCTTTGTTCAAAATAACTTTCAGTCGCCATAAGTCAGTACGTGAAGGTGTGGCGGAGCTCACCGTTGTCATAAATGTAGTCGATGATGTTCTTCAGGCGGGTGGCTGTGAGGACGGCCGCCAGCTCCCCGTCCAGTGAGTGACACATCTGGCTGGCTTCCTCATAGGTCAGCTCCGCGAAGGTGGCGAAGTAGAGGCACTGGTCGCCGACAGGCAGGATGTCTAGTGAAACGTTAATATTGATAGTCTTTTATTGATGCATTGTGACTTTAAACTGAATACTGACTTAAGATTACGTAATTATCTTAACTACTTTCAGATAAGATAATGAATAAAAACATTATTCAGGTAAAAGTATATACATTCAAAATGAGTTACAAACATGATGTTGGGTATTCTAGACAGAGCTAGAATGTACTATGCCTACAAAAGGCACTAATACGCACAGCGTTTCGGGCAAGTTAGATGGATCTGTCGAGGCCATCTTGTAGCCTCTTGTTACCTTCTTCCGTCTTAATCCATCTTATAATTTTGTGCATCATCATCCAGCAGTGATAGGAAAGATTACATTCCTTATGGATACCTGGACTGACTTTGGTCCTTTTTTGTATTAGTAAGTTCTCACCGAAGCAGCCGGTCTTCAAGAACTGCAATGAATTAAATAAATGTTTATAAACCCTGAAAATCAGTTTCATCTGGAATAATCCAATTCGTAATATGCCATCCAAAGGTACATCCCCAATTTACATTAATGACAATATCCCAAAACTATTAAAACCCAATTTGAGCTTCGATAGTGTGTCAGATACCTTTAGTTCTTACAATAATGAAATATAGATACACAAACATTTAGGTAACCGAGCACCGAATGTTTTGTGTGTGCTTTGGTTAACGTTGGGTGTCAACCGGAACAAGTTATACACAGCCTGGGAATAACCTGTGTTTTACCTGCTATTGAACATGAAGAGACACATGTGCAAAGAGAACAAATGGTAGAGGTGGTGGTGACGATGAAGAACACAGTAATAGGAGAGTGGCAGGTTAAGTGGGGAAACAAAGTCTAGAAGAATATTTAGAATCATCTTCAGGTTCACATAATAAAGAAAATCGGCAAGAGTTAAATTGTCGCCATTATTTAGCAAGAGTTTGGATTGCCAATGATTACTAACAATTTTTCAACTGGCTTTAAAGAGGTTTTTACTTTAAATGCTTTCATATGACCTTTAATAAGATCCTTTACATGATTTCCCCGAAGCCAGTTTATGCCGGATATAAGTGAGTCAACTCTCTTTCTTGGACGAGCCTAAGAGACTGTAACATATTGTGGCATATGATATAGTGCTAATGGGTCGGTGGGTGACTAGCCTGATAGGGGACTGTGGTGGGACGGGTGCACCTGGGTGAGGATGAGCTGTATATATTAATTAAACGGAACCATTGGAGCTGCACACGCTTGCTGACTACCTCCTGCAGCTCATTACTCCTGTGACTGGCACTACAGACTGCACAGCGACAGTTTATCTGGTGATAAAGCAAAGTTTTGGTGACTGTTGAAAGTAAGTCTGCATTTAAAATTGGTTTAAATAACTGAGTTCTTAGCATTAATAAAAAACATGAATTAGTTCATAATTCTGCACGTTAATCAAAACACGTGTTGATGCAAGCATTAGAACATGACGTGAACCTTCAAATGGGAGATACGATATTACTCCAGTAAAGTGTAAGATATCATTCTTGACGAGGTCAGGCTGCATAGGCCACGCACCGGCACGGATCAGCAGTGAAGTCGAGGGAGGTAACGAACAAATGAGAGAGAGAGAGAGAGAGAAGGGGGGGGGGGGGGAGGGAGATAGGAGAAGGTAGGGGAAGCGAGGGTGTCTTCCATCAGGTAAAGTAACTAGAAGTATCAACATCCATAACCAGCTCCCCAGTGTGGACATTGAGAGTAAAGAATAAATGTTGACTACGACGAACCGAAACACCACGATGGGGATATGAAGGTTTATCAACAATTATAGTCTTATCTCATCTTAACGTTTCTCTGCATTGTGGTTAGTTCTAACTAGCAGTTATCATAGAGTATTCTCTCAAAACCAGCCAGTTAAAACCACTGTAATGTGCAGGGTTGTTTATCTGTTGTGTCCCAACCGTGACGCTGCTCCATTGGTGCGAGTGACAGTCTCGCTGGTGCGCACCTCTGCTCAGTGCCTTCGTTGTCACCAGGTGGATCACTCGTCAACTGCTGCTCTGAACGTCTCGCTGTGTGGACCAACTACTGCTCTGAACGTCTCGCGTGTAGTCCAACTACTGCCGGGACTTCTGGTCGTGTAGTCCAACTACTGCCGGGACTTCTGGTCGTGCAGACCAACTGCTGCTCTGGACGTCTCGTCGTGTGGACCAACTGCTGCTCTGAACGTCTCGCTGTGTGTCCCAACTGCTGCTCTGAACGTCTCGCGGTGTGTCCCAACTGCTGCTCTGAACGTCTCGCTGTGTGGACCAACTGCTGCTCTGAACGTCTCGCGGTGTGGACCAACTGCTGCTCTGAACGTCTCACTGTGTGTCCCAACTGCTGCTCTGAACGTCTCGCGGTGTGGACCAACTGCTGCTCTGAACGTCTCGCTGTGTGGACCAACTGCTGCTCTGAACGTCTCGCGGTGTGGACCAACTGCTGCTCTGAACGTCTCGCTGTGTGGACCAACTGCTGCTCTGAACGTCTCGCTGTGTGGACCAACTGCTGCTCTGAACGTCTCGCGGTGTGGACCAACTGCTGCTCTGAACGTCTCGCGGTGTGGACCAACTGCTGCTCTGAACGTCTCGCTGTGTGGACCAACTGCTGCTCTGAACGTCTCGCTGTGTGGACCAACTGCTGCTCTGAACGTCTCGCGGTGTGGACCAACTGCTGCTCTGAACGTCTCGCTGTGTGGACCAACTGCTGCTCTGAACGTCTCGCGGTGTGGACCAACTGCTGCTCTGAACGTCTCGCGGTGAGGACCCAGTCATGAGCGCCTTTTCTATGACATGGGGCCTTGCTGTGCTCACTCTCATGTGTCCACACCTGCAGGGTAAGTTCACATCTGCCAGGTCAGTACACACCTGCTAAGTACACACCTGCTGGGTAAGTACACACCTGCTGGGTAAATACACACCTGCTGGGTAAATACACACCTGCTGGGTAAGTACACACCTGCTGGGTAAGCACACACCTGCTGGGTAAATACACACCTGCTGGGTAAGTACACACCTGCTGGGTAAGTACACACCTGCTGGGTAAGCACACACCTGCTGGGTAAATACACACCTGCTGGGTAAGCACACACCTGCTGGGTAAATACACACCTGCTGGGTAAGTACACACCTGCTGGGTAAGTACACACCTGCTGGGTAAGCACACACCTGCTGGGTAAGTACACACCTGCTGGGTAAGCACACACCTGCTTGCTGGGTAAGTACACACCTGCTGGGTAAATACACACCTGCTGGGTAAATACACACCTGCTGGGTAAGTACACACCTGCTGGGTAAGTACACACCTGCTGGGTAAGTACACACCTGCTGGGTAAATACACACCTGCTGGGTAAGTACACACCTGCTGGGTAAATACACACCTGCTGGGTAAGTACACACCTGCTGGGTAAATACACACCTGCTGGGTAAGTACACACCTGCTGGGTAAGTACACACCTGCTGGGTAAGTACACACCTGCTGGGTAAATACACACCTGCTGGGTAAGTACACACCTGCTGGGTAAGTACACACCTGCTGGGTAAGTACACACCTGCTGGGTAAGTACACACCTGCTGGGTAAATACACACCTGCTGGGTAAGTACACACCTGCTGGGTAAATACACACCTGCTGGGTAAGTACACACCTGCTGGGTAAATACACACCTGCTGGGTAAGTACACACCTGCTGGGTAAGTACACACCTGCTGGGTAAATACACACCTGCTGAGAACGTACACATTGTAGGAAATATTTGTTCAGTATTTTGGTGTCTGAAAACTTTATTAGAATTTACTTTGTTCAGAGTTATTATTCACGTAGTTAATAAGAGCGTACTTAAAGAGAGCCACGCCATCTATGGGCTGGCGGAAGCCGCCTGGCTGCTACGTCACACACCACAACAGTCAGTCAGGAAACTTGATTTGTCTCGTATTACTTCTTATAATTTATATAACTATAAGAAACTCCGTAATTCCTAAAGTATTTAACTGAATTAACATCGTTAATTCGAATTTATAAACCGACATTACGCCTCAATGAGTAATAATATACGCGAGTTTTCTTCTTGACCGGAAGAGGAGGGAGGAGGGCAGACCTGACGCCATTACATACCGAAACAGAGATCTAGACCGCCAACAAGTGACGACATCGTCATTACGCAGCAAAAATATTGTTCTGCTGCTGTTCAAAACTTTGTGACTTGAAATGGCTCTCTGTTGTATCCTAAATTTTGCTTGAGATGTAATGTGTTGTGTGGCGAGGAATCTACACACTGCAACTTTAGGGTGTTGGTGAGGCATGGACACATGGTAGCCAGGTGTTGGCTCTGGGTTAAGTATGTAAGATAGTTCAAACAACTTAGTTTGAATAATAACTGTGTGGTAAAGTGTTTCTCAAATGCTCTCTAAGTGGTTAGAGCTACTCTCTGGAGAGGTGACCAAGGTACATCATTAACAGCGAGCGGGTACGAGAGTGACCAGTGGCCCGGGGTCCAGCTGGGTGCTGCCACCACCTCTGGCGGGTGCTCCGTGCCCTTCCTGCCTGTCGGCGACCAGTGCCTCTACTTCGCCACCTTCGCGGAGCTGACCTATGAGGAAGCCAGCCAGATGTGTCACTCACTGGACGGGGAGCTGGCGGCCGTCCTCACAGCCACCCGCCTGAAGAACATCATCGACTACATTTATGACAACGGTGAGCTCCGCCACACCTTCACGTACTGACTTATGGCGACTGAAAGTTATTTTGAACAAAGAATCTCTTGCTGTCCAACATGTCCCTGAGGACCAGACGAGGCGCCCCAAGTGGAGGCTGAAGCAGGGACCCCCGCCACCATGCACGGACTTCCTTTGTTTGTGTTGGGATTAAGCTCTTGGTCCCGCTACTAAATCTGTGTTAGATCATTCAGTTCTAAGTATAATTATATTATATATATCAGTATGTGAGTGTTGTCCCTGGTGTTGAGGCGACCAAGGGAGCAGCACCAAGACGCAACACCTGGGCTGCTTGCTCAGTGTTGGCACATTAAATAGCATATAATTGCAATATAATTTGATAGCATTTACGACGAATTTGGAGACATTGCGCCACAAGCCGCGCTGCTGCAACCTGTCTACTTGAATAATACATCACATTTCCAGGGCAAATCCCCAATGAACAAAATATGATGTACTATAAATCATAGCGGCTCACCAACACTCACGTGTTCTATACATTTGTCACTCGGTTAGGTTCGGTTCGTTTGTTTTAATACACCATTTTCTGTCCGTTGTGGCAGCCGGAGAGGTCGGGCTGGCTGGTGCAAGAAGGTTGTATTATTATGGCTTACCTGTTCCTTCGGGACTTGAGATGGAGGAAACTTATCCCATGGTACCACTACAGGTCTGAGTGTGTGTACCACTACAGGTCTGAGTGTGTGTACCACTACAGGTCTGAGTGTGTGTACCTCCACAGGTCTGAGTGTGTGTGTGTACCTCCACAGGTCTGTGTGTGTGTGTGTACCTCCACAGGTCTGAGTGTGTGTGTGTACCTCCACAGGTCTGAGTGTGTGTGTACCTCCACAGGTCTGAGTGTGTGTGTACCTCCACAGGTCTGAGTGTGTGTGTACCTCCACAGGTCTGAGTGTGTGTGTACCTCCACAGGTCTGAGTGGTGTAAGCTACTGGATCGACGGGACTGACAGAGTGACAGAGGGGGACTTTAGGACGTCCTCTGGGGTTGCCGTCCCCATGGGCACGCCCTTCTGGACGGCGAGTACAACCATTCAGCAGCCGGCTGATTATCAGGGTTATGGCGGGGAAGACTGCATGGAGTTATACAGCCCGTCTTCGTTCTACATTAATGACAGGAACTGCTCCAACCTCAGGGCGCCGCTGTGTGAACATTCACCACAGCTGCTTCATACACGTAAGAACCTCTATAATTTCAAAGGAATTGATCATATAAGGTATATTTATATCGGAATCAATGAGGAGGGTTTATATATATAGCCTTGCTCAATTTTTAACAGTAATTGCTATCTGGTACGTGCCTAGCATGGGAGGGGCGGGATTGATATGTAAGAAGTGCCACGTGACGCTGCCAGACTCTCCCCACCCACCGCCTTACCTCGTGTGTGATTGGCATCCATCCTAATTATTCCCCCTATTTCTTTACCTTTGTGTGATAACTTTACTTTATTCCCCCCCCCCCCCCGCCCCACACACACACACAACCTCACCAGCTCCTTCCCCTCCCACCAGCGGAGGAGCTGGTGGGAGGAGCCCAGCAGTGTAACTTATTAATAATATAATAGTTACCTGTTGTTATAATTGTTGGCTACTATTTCTACACATCAGCAACAGCGACGCCCGAGGAGCTGGACTGCCCGCCCTTCTTCGTCAGTGTGGGCGGCCTGTGTCTGTCGTTCATGACGTGGGCGGAGGAGACGTGGGCGGACGCCCGTCAGGCTTGTCACGGTCTGTCCGGGGAGCTGGCCGCCATCACTGACATCGAGCAGCTCAGAGCTGTATACCTCTACCTCCACCAGGAAGGTGAGGCTGCTCGGCGGGGGTATACCTCTACCTGCACCAGGAAGGTGAGGCTACTCGGCGGGGGTATACCTCTACCTGCACCAGAAAGGTGAGGCTACTGGGGGGTATACCTCTACCTGCACCAGGAAGGTGAGGCTACTGGGGGGTATACCTCTACCTCCACCAGGAAGGTGAGGCTACTGGGGGGTATACCTCTACCTCCACCAGGAAGGTGAGGCTACTGGGGGGGTGTACCTCTACCTCCACCAGGAAGGTGAGGCTACTGGGGGTATACCTCTACCTGCACCAGGAAGGTGAGGCTACTGGGGGGTATACCTCTACCTGCAGCAGGAAGGTGAGGCTACTGGGGGGTATACCTCTACCTGCACCAGGAAGGTGAGGCTACTGGGGGGTATACCTCTACCTCCACCAGGAAGGTGAGGCTACTGGAGGGGGGGTATACCTCTACCTGCACCAGGAAGGTGAGGCTACTGGGGGGTTATACCTCTACCTGCACCAGGAAGGTGAGGCTACTGGAGGGGGGGGGGTATACCTCTACCTGCACCAGGAAGGTGAGGCTACTGGGGGGGGGTATACCTCTACCTCCACCAGGAAGGTGAGGCTACTGGAGGGGGGGGGGTATACCTCTACCTGCACCAGGAAGGTGAGGCTACTGGGGGGGGGTATACCTCTACCTCCACCAGGAAGGTGAGGCTACTGGGGGGGGTATACCTCTACCTCCACCAGGAAGGTGAGGCTACTGGAGGGGGGGTATACCTCTACCTGCACCAGGAAGGTGAGGCTACTGGGGGGGGTATACCTCTACCTCCACCAGGAAGGTGAGGCTACTGGAGTGGGGGTATACCTCTACCTGCACCAGGAAGGTGAGGCTACTGGGGGGTATACCTCTACCTCCACCAGGAAGGTGAGGCTACTGGAGGGGGGGGTATACCTCTACCTGCACCAGGAAGGTGAGGCTACTGGGGGGGTATACCTCTACCTCCACCAGGAAGGTGAGGCTACTGGGGGTATACCTCTACCTCCACCAGGAAGGTGAGGCTACTGGAGGGGGGGGGGGGGTATACCTCTACCTCCACCAGGAAGGTGAGGCTACTGGGGGGGTATACCTCTACCTCCACCAGGAAGGTGAGGCTACTGGGGGGGTATACCTCTACCTGCACCAGGAAGGTGAGGCTACTGGAGGGGGGGGTATACCTCTACCTCCACCAGGAAGGTGAGGCTACTGGGGAGGTATACCTCTACCTCCACCAGGAAGGTGAGGCTACTGGAGGGGGGGTATACCTCTACCTGCACCAGGAAGGTGAGGCTACTGGGGGGTATACCTCTACCTGCACCAGGAAGGTGAGGCTACTGGGGGGGGGGGTATACCTCTACCTCCACCAGGAAGGTGAGGCTACTGGAGGGGGGGGGGTATACCTCTACCTGCACCAGGAAGGTGAGGCTACTGGGGGGTATACCTCTACCTGCACCAGGAAGGTGAGGCTACTGGAGGGGGGGGGGTATACCTCTACCTGCACCAGGAAGGTGAGGCTACTGGGGGGGCTATACCTCTACCTCCACCAGGAAGGTGAGGCTACTGGAGGGGGGTATACCTCTACCTGCACCAGGAAGGTGAGGCTACTGGGGGGGTATACCTCTACCTCCACCAGGAAGGTGAGGCTACTGGAGGGGGGGGGTATACCTCTACCTCCACCAGGAAGGTGAGGCTACTGGGGGGTATACCTCTACCTCCACCAGGAAGGTGAGGCTACTGGGGGGTGTACCTCTACCTCCACCAGGAAGGTGAGGCTACTGGAGGGGGGTATACCTCTACCTCCACCAGGAAGGTGAGGCTACTGGGGGGTATACCTCTACCTGCATCAGGAAGGTGAGGCTACTGGAGGGGGGGGGGTATACCTCTACCTCCACCAGGAAGGTGAGGCTACTGGGGGTATACCTCTACCTCCACCAGGAAGGTGAGGCTACTGGAGGGGGGTATACCTCTACCTCCACCAGGAAGGTGAGGCTACTGGGGGGGTATACCTCTACCTCCACCAGGAAGGTGAGGCTACTGGGGGGGTATACCTCTACCTCCACCAGGAAGGTGAGGCTACTGGGGGGTATACCTCTACCTCCACCAGGAAGGTGAGGCTACTGGGGGGGTATACCTCTACCTCCACCAGGAAGGTGAGGCTACTGGGGGGGTTATACCTCTACCTCCACCAGGAAGGAAACACTCATTGATCACTACCAGTGTGTTGCAGGGATCAATGATCACCACCTGTGTGTTGCAGGGATCGCTGGTCACTCCTTCTGGCTGGGCGGCTCCGACGCGGCGACGGAGGGCGTGTGGGCGTGGACGGACGGACACCCCGTCACTATGGGTGCGTCGCCTCCCTTCACCTCTGTCCTAGCACACTCTTGACAATTACAATCATTCGTGATAATTTAATAATATTCTTACAAATGTTTTTGAAAGGGAAGACTCACCAGAGCAAATAATGTGTTTGTCTAATATATTTGTAAACTAGAGAACACTTTCCTGCTGCTTCTGATAAGATATTTCCTTTATCATTGAGAAAATGTTTATTATAGAGAAAATCTTTATCGTTTAAGATTACTTATCATTGGGAAAATCCACTGGGACTGTTAGGCGACGCGGACCCGCGACCAAAGTATTGCCAGCCACAGCCTCTATCACTGTACCACCGCTGACTTTATTAAAGTCATACAACCGTATTTATACTGAAATCACAGGAAACCCGGAGGCCCCTCCGGAAGCCAACCCAAGTGTTGCATACGACCCACAAACACACGGGTGAATGACAAGGAGGCTTTACACCTTACACCACAACTTTAGATAAACACGGGATATCACACTCACGAAACTCGCAGAATTAACATTATTGTTATTGAGGCAACAGTTTCACTGACTTCGTGGACATAGTGGACAATATAGTGAAGGAGGGAGGATTTAGGGAGAAAGGGAAGTTAAGGGAAGGGAAAGGAGGAATAGGGGAGGGATGATTATATTGACCAGACCACACACTAGAAGGTGAAGGGACGACGACGCTTCGGTCCGTCCTGGACCATTCTCAAGTCGATTGTGCTTGATGGGATGCTTGATTAGAGGGATGATTATGGAGGAAGAAAGGCAGAAGAGGGGAAGAGAAGAGAGCTTTGAAATAAAATATTTATTTTCTATTTATAAAACCTATTTTATATATATATTTTAGGGTTGCTTATTGGGGGGTATATGTATTTCTTTGTCATCGCACGTCACCTTGGCTGTAACACTTCTGTCACTCTCTCTCTCCAGGGTCGCCGTTCTGGGGATTTGTGAGCTCTAACGTGATGGAGCCAGACGGTGGTACAGCCGAGAACTGTATCCTGCTGGACGCCCAGGGTTACCACTACTTCCGTGACGCCTCCTGTAGCCTGCTGATGACCCCACTCTGTATGACTCTCCTGTAGTCTGCTGGTGACCCCCCTCTGTATGAGTACCCTGTAGTCTGCTGGTGACCCCCCTCTGTATGAGTACCCTGTAGTCTGCTGGTGACCCCCCACTGTATGAGTACCCTGTAGTCTGCTGGTGACCCCCCTCTGTAGTCTGCTGGTGACCCCCCTCTGTAGTCTGCTGGTGACCCCCCTCTGTATGAGTACCCTGTAGTCTGCTGGTGACCCCACTCTGTATGACTCTCCTGTAGTCTGCTGGTGACCCCCCTCTGTATGAGTACCCTGTAGTCTGCTGGTGACCCCACTGTATGTGCCTCTCCTGTAGTCTGCTGGTGACCCCCCTCTGTATGAGTACCCTGTAGTCTGCTGGTGACCCCCCTCTGTATGAGTACCCTGTAGTCTGCTGGTGACCCCCCACTGTATGAGTACCCTGTAGTCTGCTGGTGACCCCCCTCTGTATGAGTACCCTGTAGTCTGCTGGTGACCCCCCTCTGTATGAGTACCCTGTAGTCTGCTGGCGACCCCCCTCTGTATGAGTACCCTGTAGTCTGCTGGTGACCCCCTTCTGTATGAGTACCCTGTAGTCTGCTGGCGACCCCCCTCTGTATGAGTACCCTGTAGTCTGCTGGCGACCCCCCTCTGTATGAGTACCCTGTAGTCTGCTGGTGACCCCCCACTGTATGTGTCCCCTGTAGTCTGCTGGTGACCCCCCTCTGTATGAGTACCCTGTAGTCTGCTGGTGACCCCACTATGTGTGGCTCTCCTGTAGTCTGCTGGTGACCCCACTGTGTGTGGCGCTCCTGTAGTCTGCTGGTGACCCCACTGTGTGTGGCTCCCCTCTGTAGTCTGCTGGTGACCCCCCTCTGTAGTCTGCTGGTGACCCCCCTCTGTAGTCTGCTGGTGACCCCCCTCTGTAGTCTGCTGGTGACCCCCCTCTGTAGTCTGCTGATGACCCCACTGAGTGTGGCTCTCCTGTAGTCTGCTGGTGACCCCACTGAGTGTGGCTCCCCACTAGTCTGCTGGTGACGGCCGGAAAGCAGCACAGAAGAACCCGTAAAATAGAAATAACTTGAAACACATTTTTATTTTATATTTTAATTAAAGAAAACGAACGTACTTGAAGTATTAGTTGACTGATTCAGACTTCCGTCTCGCTCAGTGATCCAAATTTATCGGAAAATATGAACAGCCGTGTTATTCTATCCAGCCTCAAGGGAAGGGAAGGGAAGGGAAGGACTGGGATGGGTATGGGAAAGAATATATAGCAGAGCTAGAAATGGAGGAGGAAATTATTGGGATCGAAGGGGAAAAAAAGATGGGAAATGGAAAAGTGATGAGAAGGGATTGGTTTTCATCCAATTAGGAGGAAGGTTACGAATGGGAAAGAGACAAGAAAAGGAGATGGAAATAATGAAAGGGAAAAAAAGGATAAACGGAAAAATGAAGAGAAAGTTAAAACGTTATTAAACTACTCCGGGAATTTCAGTCTCCTCGGAACATCCACGAACTGAGAGAAGTGGTGAGAGGGAAAGTGAGAGGCGGAGTCATCTCACTCACTCTCCCTCACTTTCTCGTATGTACAATAAACAGGAGCAACACATACATGAGTTTAAATTATTGGGTGACTCTGTGGCCTGGTTTGCAGAGGCTAGTAGGCCTACTGAGAGGACTTGACTCGTTTGAACAGTAGGCCTAGTGAGAGGGCAAATGTTGAGACAGGCTGCCAACAGGATGACACTGATCACCTATTGGTAATTCCTCGCTGAAGTAGTTAGAGTGGCTCCTGAGGACCACCTGGCTTCTCCCGACAGATATTCGCAACTTACCTGTAGATTGAGCCGGAGAAGAGACGTTACAGTCACCTGGAAGATCACTGGAGCAGGTGACGGAGGAGTCACTAGGGCAGGTGACAGAGGGATCACTTGAAGGTTGAGAGAAAAACCCGTAACTATCATAGCTTTTATTTATATTACTTTAAACCTTACATGCTAGATGGCACCGACAGTTTTCTTAAAATAAATATGGTATTCACAGACTACTACGCTCCCAGAGGCTGGCGAGGTCATCCGGCAGGGGTCAAGGGTCAAGGTCTGACACGGCAGGGGTCAGGGGTCAAGGTCTGACACGGCAGGGGTCAGGTGTCAGGGTCTGACACGGCAGGGGTCAGGGGTCAGGGTCTGACACGGCAGGTGTCAGGGTCTGACACGTCAGGGGTCAGGGTCTGACACGGCAGGGGTCACAATCTGTCATGGAAGAGGTCACAAACTGGCACGGCATCAGTCATGGTCTGACCTGTCATGGAGAATACGTATAGGTATACCTGTTATATATATAGAGCAGCATAACAGTATACTTGCGAGTGTAGAGTTGAGTGTGATGTGAACTTCATCTGATTAGTTCCTGAACATCAGGAAACCCGCTGACTGGCGAACGTATCAAAGCGTTATGCTACTGATTACTACACTTGCCATCTATATCAAACATATCTAGAGAGCTGATTGATTGGATCTTGCCATGACGTCAGGAACAAGTATGTCTAGAGAGCCATTTGATTGGCTCTTGGAATGACGTCAGGAACACGTAAGCATAGAAAGCCATTTGATTGGCTCTTGGAGTGACGTCAGGAACACGTAAGCATAGAGAGCCATTTGATTGGCTCTTGGAATGACGTCAGGAACACGTCAGCATAGAGAGCCATTTGATTGGTTTATAAGAATTGCGTCATTCAGATTCAAATTCAGAGAGCATTTGATCTATTTGTATGTTGCCATTGACATTCATATCCAGGAAACTATCTGAAAACTCCTCTCATTGCGTCACGAGTCATATAAATACAAGAACCATATTAGTGTATGTTCAGAGAACCCTGCGTATGGTTCTGAAGCATGACGTCATCAAGTCCAGACGATAGAACATTTTGATTGGTTCTTCTTTATGACGTCATAATGAATGCTAAAATGTTGTTGGTAAACGGTGTTGTGACGTCATCGTGCCAGTCAGACCTGCGAGCCAATGGGCGCTGTTGACTTGACTTTCAAATACCCTATCAGGCTGTACATTGGAGTAATTAATATATATATATATATATATATATATATATATATATATATATATATATATATATATATATATATATATATATATATATATATATATATATATATATATATATATTCAAAAATAAATACTGGAATATTAAGATAATTATTTGTTCTGGTTCATAAAGAACAATTATATCTTTCAGTATAGAGACCAATGTCGACCAACACACACACACACACTCACACTCACTCTCATTCTCTCACACTCACACTGTCACACACACACTCACACACTCACACTCACACACACACAGGATCTTCTGCAACTCGTTATTTTCATCGTTAGTGTGAAGACTAACGAGCCCTGGCGTGGTTGTCAAGGTTCCGGAATACCTTATGCAGTGATCACCAACAAAAAGGATATAATTACGTGGTTTCGAACGTGTGAAGCAGTTTACAGATCCAAATACGAACACCCCGTCAGTGGGGAACCAGCAGTGTTGTCTACACTCCCCCACCAGGGTCAGAGTAACGCTACACCCCGCGACGATCGTATCCCAGGTGTAGGTGTAAGGGACTACTAGTAGATAAAGCAAGAGGAACGAATAAGTGAAGATTAACTTATACAAGTGTGGAAAATAAAGTGGACGGGAATACAACAGATCAAAACAATGCATTAAGTGGAGTCTTACAACAGGGGAACGAGGCGTTAGCAGGGGGAGCGGGTCACCTTTTGTGTTAACGGAGCGCCTCACCGCCCTGGGGTAGGTCAAACTCCTGACAGGAGTACTTTAGTGTGCTGTACAAGACTAGCTGGAATGGTGTATATGTATATATATATATACACCGAGAGGTATTTACCATTTCTGGTGTATATACATTAGCTGAGGCTTTATTTTAGCCCATGAATATATTCAAGATTAAAATATGTATGGTCGATGGTTTGCAAGCTTGTGTCACTGCCTTAATAGCCCTTGTGCAATTGATAGGCCTTAAGCACCCCACGCACACACGCACACACACACACACACACACACACACACACACACACACACACACACACACACACACACACACACACACACACACACACACACACACATATACACACAAAAACACCGTTTACACACACACACACACACACACACACACACACACACACACACACACACACATATACACACAAAAACACCGTTTACACACACACACACACACACACACACACACACACATATACACACAAAAACACCGTTTACACACACACACACAGTTAATTGATCTATGGTTTCCACCTGTTGACCAGCAGGAGTGATCGTGCGACTGTCATTGGCTAGCCACAATTAAGGTTGAGTAGAAACATTGGTGGTGAACCAATCAGGTGCAAGACTGGACTCTGCCCCACACACAGCCAGAGCCAGTCATCTCTGCTGTGGTTAATGCAACAAATTTACGTAATATATATTAACACTGGATTTACTACAGCAAGTCTTTGTAAATATTTACACACATACATATATTCACAGGTAGAGTCACTACAGCCAGGTAGAGTCACTACACCCAGGTAGAGTCACTACACCCGGGTAGAGTCACTACACCCGGGTAGAGTGACTACACCCGGGTAGAGTGACTACACCCGGGTAGAGTGACTACACCCGGGTAGAGTGACTACACCCGGGTAGAGTGACTACACCCGGGTAGAGTGACTACACCCGGGTAGAGTGACTACACCCGGGTAGAGTGACTACACCCGGGTAGAGTGACTACACCCGGGTAGAGTGACTACACCCGGGTAGAGTGACTACACCCGGGTAGAGTGACTACACCCGGGTAGAGTGACTACACCCGGGTAGAGTGACTACACCCGGGTAGAGTGACTACACCCGGGTAGAGTGACTACACCCGGGTAGAGTGACTACACCCGGGTAGAGTGACTACACCCGGGTAGAGTGACTACACCCGGGTAGAGTGACTACACCCGGGTAGAGTGACTACACCCGGGTAGAGTCACTACACCCAGGTAGAGTCACTACCCGGGTAGAGTCACTACACCCAGGTAGAGTGACTACACCCTGGTAGAGTGACTACACCCGGGTAGAGTGACTACACCCGGGTAGAGTCACTACACCCAGGTAGAGTCACTACCCGGGTAGAGTCACTACACCCAGGTAGAGTCACTACCCGGGTAGAGTCACTACCCGGGTAGAGTCACTACACTCAGGTAGAGTCACTACACCCAGGTAGAGTCACTACCCGGGTAGAGTCACTACACCCAGGTAGTCACTACCCGGGTAGAGTCACTACCCGGGTAGAGTCACTACACCCAGGTAGAGTCACTACCCGGGTAGAGTCACTACACCCGGGTAGAGTCACTACACCCGGGTAGAGTCACTACACCCGGGTAGAGTCACTACCCGGGTAGAGTCACTACACCCAGGTAGAGTCACTACCCGGGTAGAGTCACTACACCCAGGTTGAGTCACTACACCCAGGTAGAGTCACTACCCGGGTAGAGTCACTACACCCAGGTAGAGTCACTACCCGGGTAGAGTCACTACACCCAGGTAGAGTCACTACCCAGGTAGAGTCACTACCCGGGTAGAGTCACTACACCCAGGTAGAGTCACTACCCGGGTAGAGTCACTACACCCAGGTAGAGTCACTACACCCAGGTAGAGTCACTACCCGGGTAGAGTCACTACACCCAGGTAGAGTCACTACACCCAGGTAGAGTCACTACACCCAGGTAGAGTCACTACACCCAGGTAGAGTCACTACACCCAGGTAGAGTCACTACACCCAGGTAGAGTCACTACACCCAGGTAGAGTCACTACACCCAGGTAGAGTCACTACACCCAGGTAGAGTCACTACACCCAGGTAGAGTCACTACCAGGTAGAGTCACTACACCCAGGTAGAGTCACTACACCCAGGTAGAGTCACTACACCCAGAGTAGAGTCACTACAGTCCCAGGTAGAGTCACTACACCCAGGTAGAGTCACTACACCCAGGTAGAGTCACTACACCCACCCGGGTAGAGTCACTACACACAGGTAGAGTCACTACAGTCACCAGGTAGAGTCGCTACACACAGGTAGAGTCACACCCGGTAGAGTCACTACACACAGGTAGAGTCACTACACCCAGGTAGAGTCACTACACACAGGTAGAGTCACTACACACAGGTAGAGTCACTACACCCAGGTAGAGTCACTACACACAGGTAGAGTCACTACACCCAGGTAGAGTCACTACACCCAGGTAGAGTCACTACACCCAGGTAGAGTCACTACACACAGGTAGAGTCACTACACCCAGGTAGAGTCACTACACACAGGTAGAGTCACTACACCCGGGTAGAGTCACTACCCGGGTAGAGTCACTACACCCAGGTAGAGTCACTACCCAGGTAGAGTCACTACCCGGGTAGAGTCACTACACACAGGTAGAGTCACTACACACAGGTAAAAGCATTACATTGTCAACAATGATCATATAGAAAACTTGTACTTTCAATGGCACTTTAGGAATTGTTACTAAAATACACCAGTGGTTTGTTGAGAGAAATCTGTCCCAGGCTGAGTACTGACAGACTTGTGAGTTAAAGGCACTCCAGACTTGAGAGTTAAAGGCACTCCAGTTTTGAGAGTTCAAGGCTCTTCAGTCTTGTGAGCTAAGGGCCATGAAGTTTTGTGAGTTCAGGGCGCTGCAAATTCGAGAGGTGAACTCTGACAACAATACCACTAGAATATATTCGTGAATGTTTGTGAAAAGTTTTCTTTCTCGCGAGAGAGAGAGAGAGAGAGAGAGAGAGAGAGAGAGAGAGAGAGAGAGAGAGAGAGAGAGAGAGAGAGGCCCTGACAGCCATCGGTCAGTGGTGACATTCCTTTTTGTCTGCTTGGACACAGCAGAAGCAGTCAGTGTGGCTCACACTGCGGCTACCCTGTTCTTGCGGCACTCAGGTCTAGTGGCGCCTCCTGCTCCTCCTTTCTCCTGCTTCCTTCTCCTCCCTGCGGCTTCTCCTCTCTCTCTTCCTCCACCACTCCGTGTGGACTGTTCGAGGCTGATCTCTCGTCCTCCGAGTCCACTCTTGGGGGACTTGGCGACTTATTCTTGACGCTGAGGTCGATGGGAAGGTCCTGGGGCGCCGTGGCGGCTACAGGAACTATTTCCGGGCTGCCTCGTGGCGTGAGATCATGCCCGGGATTGTATCCCGGTGGGATATCCCGCCCCTGCAGCTCCTGCTGACGGAGAGGCGGGACTCCCCTAACAGGAGAGTGATTGGAGCTGCTTCTCACCGCCACCTTCACGTCGGGGTGAGGACGAGAGTGATTGGGCTTGAAAAACTTGGGTGGAGGAGCGAACTCCCTGTTGGGCGAGGCCAAGTCTCTACTCTCTTCCTCAGGGTCAACCGGAGGCGAGACTTCGCTCTGCCGCGCCTTCTGGAGGAGGGAGTCGAGGTACTGGCGGCGCGAGTAGACTGAGAGAAGCGAGGGATAGTAAGGATAGAGGTAGCGGTGGGCTAGGGAGGCCGGAGCCACGTACTGCGGTAGGTGCGGCGTCAGCCCCGGCAGGTTGTACAGGGACAACAGGTCCTTAGGGTACAGTTGGTCTGGGTAACTAGGGAACAGCGGAGACTTTTCACTCAGCTCTAACGAGGAGTCTGAATTGTGAGACTCTGATGACGAGGGTGTCGGCGAGTTCAGCCCCTTGCACTCAAGTCCTGACTTGAAATCTGCGCTGATTTTAAAGTCCGGACTGAGCTTAAAGTCCTTGAAATCTCTGAAATCTGGACTGAATGTCTTTGAGGGACTTATAGAGGGACTGAGGAGACCGGGAGAAGATGGCGTCGCCAACATAGTGGTGGTAGAGGAACTCTCACTCAACATCATGTCGCTGGTGGTGCTGCTGGTAGCGGTGCTGGTGGTAGTAGTGGTAGTGCTGGTGGCGCCGCTGGTGCTCCCCTGCATCAGGTAGTGGATCTTGAACCAGTTGGACCGTCGACCGTACCTCGACCCGCTCTTCGACATGCCCACCATCAGACACTTCCGCAAGCGGCAGCTCTTGCACGACGTCCGCGTCTTCTTGTTAATGACGCAGCGACCGCCGTTCTTGCACTCGTTCAGGGACGACAAGTTGTTGTACGTCCGTCCGAAGAACGACTGTAAAGAAACCGGCTGTTAGTGGGGACATCTTGAGGGTGTCTTAGGGTTTAGGCTCCCAGGGCCACCTATAATGATCTACTAAGATAAAGACAGCTTCTGATAGGCATAAAATAATCTACTAAGAAAGACAGCTTCTGATAGGCATAAAATGATCTAAGACAGCTTCTGATAGGCATAATCAGATGATTCATTACTGCCCCGTCATTCAGAATAGGCTTATCGTACAAGTAACAGTAGAAGGAGCCTTGGTAGTGCTCCTGAGTCATCCTTAAGCGTGTCAGGCAGAAGTTCAGAGTGTCTGAGTTTCTATCCTGAGCGACGTCCAACCCTTTTATCTACACGACCTGAATCCTTAGCCCAAGTCCCAGCTAAAGTCCCAGCCCGAACCCCAGCTAAAGTCCCATCCCGAACCCCAGCTAAAGTCCCATCCCGAACCCCAGCTAAAGTCCCATCCCGAACCCCAGCTAAAGTCCCATCCCGAACCCCAGCTAAAGTCCCATCCCGAACCCCAGCTAAAGCCCCAGCCGGAACCCCAGCTAAAGTCCCAGCCGGAACCCCAGCTAAAGTCCCAACCCAAACCCCAGCTAAAGTCCCAGCCCGAACCCCAGCTAAAGTCCCAGCCGGAACCCCAGCTAAAGTCCCAGCCGGAACCCCAGCTAAAGTCCCAGCCGGAACCCCAGCTAAAGTCCCAGCCGGAACCCCAGCTAAAGTCCCAGCCGGAACCCCAGCTAAAGTCCCAGCCGGAACCCCAGCTAAAGTCCCAGCCGGAACCCCAGCTAAAGTCCCAGCCGGAACCCCAGCTAAAGTCCCAGCCGGAACCCCAGCTAAAGTCCCAGCCGGAACCCCAGCTAAAGTCCCAGCCGGAACCCCAGCTAAAGTCCCAGCCGGAACCCCAGCTAAAGTCCCAGCCGGAACCCCAGCTAAAGTCCCAGCCGGAACCCCAGCTAAAGTCCCAGCCGGAACCCCAGCTAAAGTCCCAGCCGGAACCCCAGCTAAAGTCCCAGCCGGAACCCCAGCTAAAGTCCCAGCCGGAACCCCAGCTAAAGTCCCAGCCGGAACCCCAGCTAAAGTCCCAGCCCGAACCCCAGCTAAAGTCCCAGCCCGAACCCCAGCTAAAGTCCCAGCCCGAGCCCTGGGAGTCTGGTCGTGAGCTGTAATAAAGAGGTTTTCATGATTTAAGTTAAAAGTTTCATTCTTATTTTTCTATAGTGTATATGAGTGTCAGTATGCCGGGGTCCTCCGACCCCGCGCCATGGTCGCCACGAAGGATCTGAACAATACTATTTTTGGTTCATTTTCTTGATTTTTTTGGCAGTCTATCTGTTTTTGCTATCATATCTGTCCAATCTTTTATTCACGCTCGTTCCTTCCTTCCGTCTAGTGACTCTCCGTCCGGGATGACAGGGGGGGGGGGACGGTAGTTAATGGTCGCGCCGCGAGAAACAAAGCCGCGCGTGACTGTCCAATCCGTGTAAGTCATTATGTTAATGTCTCTTCTGCTTACCTGGCAAATGGCTCACTAATACCTCCTACCCGCGATCCCAGGCTTCGATCCCTGCACGCCGTGTTGGTCAGCGCTTCACGCTGCTCAATTGACGACGCGTCCAGGTGGTGAGATAGTATCGACCATCACCGTAAATATGGGTTATCACAACGTGCTATTGTGCACGGATTTTCCACCTAATCATTTAATGCGTTGGTCTAACACGCAAGCAAAAACACGCCATTGGCGGTTCATTTTTTCGCCCATGGAGCGGCGCGCTCCAGGATGAGATGTCGACTGTTCTCTCTTCAAATGTTTCTTCGCATATTACCCTCCTTCTCTTCCTCCAAATTTACTATTAACGCCTATTATTATTAATCCTAAATGGCAGCTATGGGAACATGAACAGATATAAGGAAAATCCCATATATATAGTAGAGATAAATGGGTTGTAAGTTCTTTTTAGCGTGCGTTGCTCGACAGAGTTCCCGCCAAGCCGAGAGTGGCAATAATGTTGGCGCCAAGTTTCAAAGGACGAGCGGCTATTGGCTCTCACGGGCAACGGAATATTATTAATTACTGCGTCGAGTTAACCAGCCACGAGACTCGGTATGTGCAGTCCTCATTAATATTCCCTAATGAAAAAATATGTTTAGCAATACAGCATAATTATTTTGAGGGCTTGGGAGATGTTTGAAACTAAAGAACAGACATTAAGGTCGTGTTGCGGCGGTCATTGGCAACTCAAACATTATTCTAGGTACTTAAAACTGTTCGTATATGTCTTCTGATTTCTTAGTTCTAATTTTTATTATGTAAACCTTTGAATTCTGAACGTCAAAGAACAATCTGACAGTATCAATGATAACAGTATAGACAGTATACCGTTATATATATATATATATATATATATATATATATATATATATATATATGTCGTACCTAGTAGCCAGAACGCACTTCTCAGCCTACTATGCAAGGCCCGATTTGCCTAATAAGCCAAGTTTTACTGAATTATTATATTTTCTCTAATTTTTTTCTTATGAAATGATAAAGTTACCCATTTCATTATGTATGAGGTAAATTTTATTTTATTGGAGTTAAAATTAACGTAGATATATGACCGAACCTAACCAACCCTACCTAACCTATCTTTATAGGTTAGGTTGGGTTAGGTAGCCGAAAAATTTAGGTTAGGTTAGGTAGGCTAGGTAGTCGAAAAACAATTAATTCATGAAAACTTGGCTTATTAGGGAAATCGGGCCTTGCATAGTAGGCTGAGAAGTGCGTTCTGGCTACTAGGTACATATATATATATATATATATATATATATATATATATATATATATATATATATATATATATATATATATATATATATAATATACACAGACAGTCTATTAGGCCATTATAACACAAGACGGCCAGCCACTCGATAATTATTTTTCTTTAAGTCATTCTTAGGAGCATTTTTCTTTAAGTCATCACTGTACCAGCGGTCACTTAATTATTACAAGACTCGCGTTTCGTGCGTGTTCTAACGCGAAATATGTGAGTGAGAAATTGATCCAACTGGCTAAAATGAAGTCCTTGCCTACATATGACTGCTGTATTCTGAAGCCACATATGATTCATCTGCTGTACCCAGGGGCTACATATGTCTGCTGTACCCTGAGGGGGAAGGTTCCTTCCTTCTCAGAATTACCTCAGTACTAGTGCCGAGAGCCAACACAAGTAATAAGGAGTATTAATGACAAAGGAATGGTTTAAAAAATCCATCTTACATTATGTGCTTCAGTCTTTTGTCACGTGCAAAAGCCTGGTTGCTATCAGCAGCCAGGCGTTACAGGCACCATACCGATAACGCTGAGGCTTCCCATGATTTAAGATTTTATTACTAAATAATTTACAGATTTTACGCATAAAAACAGTACTTTATAACGCCAAATGTAACGGAATTATACGTCTGGAAGACAGATGTAAGATGGGCTGTGAAGGCCTACTGCCTGGCACTCACAGGGAGAACCACTGTGATGCAAGCATTGCGTCACGACCATGACGCAGGTGTAAGCAACTGTGACGCAGAAGACACACATCACTTGAAGACTCCGGTCTGGATACGGTCTAATGCTTATCCTATGGGCTCTGAGCTGAGGATATTGTGGCGCCAAATATCATCCAGACAGTTGAAGTAGCGAAAAAAATATAATTTAAGCCCCAAATTTTGAACAAAACTGTACGGAATAAATTGGGGATGGGGGGAAAGGGGAAGGGGGAAGGGGGGAGGAGAGGATAGTGGGTAATGGGTAGGAGAGAGAGTGAGGAGTGAGGGAAGGTAGAGAGCGGATGGGGGGGGGGGAAAGAGAGAAAGAATAGGGCTGATGCTGCCTTTTGAGATCCCAGCTACTACCCCGCCGCCCCACATAATGGGACTACATGTGACTCCACTGTACCCTGGGACTACATGTGACTCCACTGTACCCTGGGACTACATGTGACTCCACTGTACCCTGGGACCACATGTGACTCCACTGTACCCTGGGACCACATGTGACTCCACTGTACCCTGGGACCACATGTGACTCCACTGTACCCTGGGACCACATGTGACTCCACTGTACCCTGGGACCACATGTGACTCCACTGTACCCTGGGACTACATGTGACTCCACTGTACCCTGGGACCACATGTGACTCCACTGTACCCTGGGACCACATGTGACTCCACTGTACCCTGGGACCACATGTGACTCCACTGTACCTTGACACACCTGGTATACCACCTAAGACACTCACCTTGCACCCTTCACATGTGAAGGCTCCGAAGTGGAACCCCGCAGCAGGCTCCCCACACACCTTACACAGCTGGCTCATCTGTGGAGAGACACGCTGTTAGGCTCTCTGATACATATACACACACCTGTGCGAACAAGCCAGAGACACGCTGTTAGGCTCTCTGATACATATACACACACCTGTGCGAACAAACCAGAGACACGCTGTTAGGCTCTCTGATTCATACACACACACCTGTGCGAACAAGCCTGAATGGTCCCCAGGACTATATGCAACTGAAAACTCACACCCCAGAAGTGACTCGAATCCATACTGCCAGGAGCAACGCAACTGGTATGTACAGGACGCCTTAATCCGCTTGACCATCACGACCGGACAGTAAGTGGTTCAAATAGCTTCGGCTATCACTTCCTTATTGTCCGGTCGTGATGGTCAAGCGGATTAAGGCGTCCTGTACATACCAGTTGCGTTGCTCCTGGCAGTATGGGTTCGAGTCACTTCTGGGGTGTGAGTTTTCAGTTATACACACCTGTGTATGTGAAAATACACATTCCCACCTGTGTATGTACACATACAGTCACAATATTGTGGCTTAAAATTAAATTTTTACCCCCACTGACCTGAGCATAAATGAAGTGACCTCATATTCCCTCACACTTTACCCTTCCCACCTGTCACCTCACCCTTCCCACCTGTCACCTCACCCTTCCCACCTGTCACCATCACCCTTCCCACCTGTCACCTCACCCGTCCCACCTGTCACCTCACACTCTAACGTAACGGAGTGACTCTTCCTGTCACTCTTTACACGGCGTGATAATGGTCCAGGGTGGACAGTATCGTCGTCACTTCCCTAATGTTCGGATGTGTGTGTCATACACATATACGAACACACACACAAAGTAGGAAATCGAAGTGGCATGATGACCCAAAATGTTAGATCAATGGTTCTAGTTCGCATCTTCTGACCCTAAGATATTAACTTTTCAAAGTTTGTTTCTACAGTATTGGACCAACTGGTTAAATTGTTTCTTTGAAGTTCTCTTTAACATCTCATAAATTCTCATAAACAAAAAGCTATACACTGTATACACCGTGTATAGACAAATATGTTGCAAATCCAGAGCCAAATTCACGAAAGCACTTACGCAAACACTTACGAACCTGTACATCTTTTCTCAATCTTTGGCGGCTTTGTTTCCCATTATTAAACAGTCAATGAGCTCCGAAGCACCAGGAGGCTGTTTATAACAGTAACAAAAATTGATTGGGAAGTTTTCAGACTTGTAAACTGTTTAATAATTGTAAACAAAGCCGCCAAAGATTGAGAAAAGATGTACAAGTTCGTAAGTGCTTGCGTAAGTGCTTTCGTGAATCTGGCCCCCAGACTTTACACAACTAGGTCGTGTACAGCCGCTGTTAGCTGAAGCAGTAAGTGTGGTCTGAGGTGGAAGTGCTGTCAGTGCTCTTGAGAAAGACAAGGTGCACTTAAGTATCAGTCTGGTTCTTGATAGTTGAATAAGAGTGTTTGATATACAGTGCTTCAGCTATGTCTTATTAGAATTGCTGTTGTGTTGACTGATTATTTAGATGTGGGTCGGGGACTCTGTGACGAGTGTCAGGTTGATGGTCACATTGTTTATACACACAACCTGAGAACCATCAGAGATGTCGTGGCCAACACCACTGAAATAATGGGCACAACGAAAACGGATCAGACATAGCCCAATCACTACATGTCAAACACCATCATACATTAGTAGAGACACTGGAAAGACTTGACTAGAGTGGAATGTTCCAGGTTTTACCTCTACCCTTTAATCCTCTTTCTAAGTTACACAACACCTTCCTAAGTTACCCAACACCTTCCTAAGTTACCCAACACCTTCCTAAGTTACCCAACACCTTCCTAAGTTACCCAACACCTTCCTAAGTTACCCAACACCTTCCTAAGTTACCCAACACCTTCCTAAGTTACCCAACACCTTCCTAAGTTACCCAACACCTTCCTAAGTTACACAACACCTTCCTAAGTTACCCAACACCTTTCTAAGTTACCCAACACCTTTCTAAGTTACCCAACACCTTTCTAAGTTACCCAACACCTTCCTAAGTTACCCCAACACCTCCCTAAGTTACCCAACACCTTCCTAAGTTACCCAACACCTTCCTAAGTTACCCCAACACCTCCCTAAGTTACCTAACACCTTCCTAAGTTACCTAACACCTTCCTAAGTTACACAACACCTTCCTAAGTTACACAACACCTTCCTAAGTTACACAACACCTTCCTAAGTTACCCAACACCTTCCTAAGTTACCCAACACCTTCCTAAGTTACCCAACACCTTTCTAAGTTACACAACACCTTCCTAAGTTACCCAACACCTTCCTAAGTTACCCAACACCTTCCTAAGTTACCCAACACCTTCCTAAGTTACCCAACACCTTCCTAAGTTACCCAACACCTTCCTAAGTTACCCAACACTTTCTAAGTTACCCAACACTTCCTAAGTTACCCAACACTTTCCTAAGTTACCCAACACCTTCCTAAGTTACCCAACACCTTCCTAAGTTACCCAACACCTTCCTAAGTTACCCAACACCTTCCTAAGTTACCCAACACCTTCCTAAGTTACCCAACACCTTCCTAAGTTACCCAACACCTTCCTAAGTTACACAACACCTCCCTAAGTTACCCAACACCTTCCTAAGTTACACAACACCTTCCTAAGTTACCCAACACCTTCCTAAGTTACCCAACACCTTCCTAAGTTACACAACACCTTCCTAAGTTACCCAACACCTTCCTAAGTTACCCAACACCTTCCTAAGTTACACAACACCTCCCTAAGTTACCCAACACCTTCCTAAGTTACACAACACCTTCCTAAGTTACCCAACACCTTCCTAAGTTACCCAACACCTTCCTAAGTTACCCAACACCTTCCTAAGTTACACAACACCTTCCTAAGTTACCCAACACCTTCCTAAGTTACCCAACACCTTCCTAAGTTACCCAACACCTTCCTAAGTTACCCAACACCTTCCTAAGTTACCCAACACCTTCCTAAGTTACCCAACACCTTCCTAAGTTACCCAACACCTTCCTAAGTTACCCAACACCTTCCTAAGTTACCCAACACCTTCCTAAGTTACCCAACACCTCCCTAAGTTACCCAACACCTTCCTAAGTTACCCAACACCTTCCTAAGTTACCCAACACCTTCCTAAGTTACCCAACACCTTCCTAAGTTACCCAACACCTTCCTAAGTTACCCAACACCTTCCTAAGTTACCCACACCTTCCTAAGTTACCCAACACCTTCCTAAGTTACCCAACACCTTCCTAAGTTACACAACACCTTTCTAAGTTACCCAACACCTTCCTAAGTTACCCAACACCTTCCTAAGTTACCCAACACCTTCCTAAGTTACCCAACACCTTCCTAAGTTACCCCAACACCTTCCTAAGTTACCCAACACCTTCCTAAGTTACCCAACACCTTCCTAAGTTACCCAACACCTTCCTAAGTTACCCAACACCTTCCTAAGTTACACAACACCTTCCTAAGTTACCCAACACCTTCCTAAGTTACCCAACACCTTCCTAAGTTACCCCAACACCTTCCTAAGTTACCCAACACCTTTCTAAGTTACCCAACACCTTCCTAAGTTACCCAACACCTTCCTAAGTTACCCAAAACCTTCCTAAGTTACCCAACACCTTCCTAAGTTACCCCAACACCTTCCTAAGTTACCCCAACACCTTCCTAAGTACCCAACACCTTCCTAAGTTACCCACCACCTTCCTAAGTTACCCAACACCTTCCTAAGTTACCCAACACCTTCCTAAGTTACCCAACACCTTCCTAAGTTATATGGGTGAACCTTAGATTTCTCTCTCCAAAAGAGCTAAGGTTAAAAGACCATTCATCCTTTCCTCACAGGACCTTTCCCTATCCACTCCCCTGTCCATTAGGCCTCTCTTCCTATCCCTCCCATTCTCACTAATCCCCTCTTCCACCTCTTCCACCTCTTCCCCAAAAAACAGGTAGAGAGACGATGAAAAAGAGCTTTAAATGCACTCAGTGAAGCAGTGTGGAGATGGGTCCGCCTTAGCGCGCACGCACGCACACACACACACACACACACGCACACACAACACTGGTATTCAACACTGGTGGGACGCGAACAAGGGGACACAGGTGGAAACTGAGTACCCACATGAGCCACAGAAACGTTAGAAGGAACTTTTTTAGTGTCAGAGTAGTTAACGGATGGCATGCATTAGGCAGTGATGTGGTGGAGGCTGACTCCATACACAGTTTTAAATGTAGATATGATAGAGCCCAGTAGACTCAGGAATCTGTACACCAGTTGATTGACAGTTGAGAGGCGGGACCAAAGAGCCAAAGCTCAACCCCCGCAAGTACAAATAGGTGAGTACACACCAGGGACCTGGGGACCCAAGAACGTGCCTACGGTACCCCAGACGACCATTGGGGTATACCACGTGCCTATGGTACCCCAGATTTAAGATGAGTGAAGGCCATTCTTAACCCTGAACACTGAGATCATATTGTGGTTGTGGTGGTAATGGTGCTGATGGTGGTGGTGATGGTGGTGGTGGTTGTGGTGGTGATGGTGCTGGTGGTGGTGGTGGTGGTGGTGGTGGTGGTGATGGTGGTGATGGTGGTGGTGGTGGTGGTGATGGTGGTGGTGGTGGAGATGGTGGTGGTGGTTGTGGTGGTAATGGTGGTGATGGTGGTGATGGTGGTGGTGATGGTGGTGGTGGTGGTGGTGGTGGTGGTGGTGGTGGTGATGGTGGTGATGGTGGTGGTGGTGGTGGTGGTGATGGTGGTGGTGGTGGTGATGGTGGTGGTGGTGATGGTGGTGATGGTGGTGGTGGTGGTGGTGGTGATGACAGGATGAACAACCCAGCGGGTTTTCTTCCTATTGGGGAGTGTTTTACTTGCTGCTATGGCGGTGTGGTCACTCACAGGATGAGTGACGCTGCCCAATACTGTCACTATGGCGGTGTGGTCACTCACAGGATGAGTGGCGCTGCCCAATACT